GCTAAAAAAAATAAATATTAAAATTCTCTCCAAAAAAAAAAATTTAAAGAGAGAATTTTAATATTTATTTTTTGGTTTTCGGCAGACACAACATCTTTGTTGGTATGTGGTGCCAAGGATCGAACCCGGGCCGCACGCATGCCAGGCGAGCGCGCTACAGCTGGAGCCACATCCCCAGCCCCCTGATGTGGTTGTCTTTAAATTTTTCTTTTCATACTTGTAGACGGACAGCAGGCCTTTATTGTTATGTGGTGCTGAGACTCGAACCCAGTGCCTCACACGTGCTGGCAAGCGCTCTGCCCCGAGCCCCAGCCCAGCTCCATGTTTTTTGTGTGGGAAAACACACATAACAAATTCCACCATCGGTGACAATCGAGCACATTCACACTGTCACTGTCATGCCAAGGCAAGCCTCAGCCCCGCGCCCACCAATCCATGTCCCATCTCTGACTCCTGTCCTGGATGTCTCCTGTCACTGGGGCACACAGTGGCCTTGTGTGTCTGGCTCTGAGCAAGAGGTCCTGGGTTCCATCAGCATGGCAGTTGTCACCTGGCCTGTGCAGGTGGCTGAGGGACGCCCCAGGAGGGGGAGTGCACTGTGTCTGTCAACGAGAGCGCTTCCTTCAAGCCATTGCCACTGTGCCTCCGTGAACATCCCCGCACAAGTCTGCGGGGCAGTGTCCTCCCACCTGTGATGTGCCACTGCTGGACAGCACTGCAGACTGACCTCAATCTCCCAACCACAAAGCATTGTTAAAGAACTCGCAGGGCTTGGTGGAGGGTGGTGCTGGGGGCCCCTCCCTGAGGCCCCCAGCTGAGCTGTGCCCCACAGCACCTCTACGGGCGGGGGCCTGGATGGAGCAGAGCATGGGCCAGTCACAGCCACTGCACCTGATCTTCCCCAATGGGAGACCTGTCTCCTGCACCTGGCGCTGAGCTGCAGGGCCGGCACCAGCAGACCAGGACTGGGGTGGGGCTGCTGCTCCAGGGGGCCCCGGCTCCTCTGCACAGGCTCCTGTCCAGGCCAGCCCTTTGCAAAGGCATCAGCACTCAAAGGAGCCACACACCCACCACGGGGGGCTCTTGACCATGGAGGACCTGGGCATGGCCTCAGCCTGCACACTGCCCCCCCCATCCAAGGCTTCCGGGTGGGCTGAGGCGACACCTAGTGGCACCCCATGGTACTAGCCACCCAGTGCCTTAGTCCAAACTGCCATCTAGCGGCTCCCGGCAGGAGGTCCGGGGACACCAGCAGGGTGAGGCAGAGCCACACTTCCCCTGGCCAACGCGACGCGCCAGCCTGTTGCAGGCAGTCCTGGGGGACCTCATCCACACAGCCCCGAGGATCACAAGGTACCAACTGAGACAGGAGCGAGAATACCCTGAGGGCCACTGGGCACTGCAGCCAAGGGACAGGCTGGGGCTGTGTTGTTCAGAGCAGGTGCATCCTGGCACCACTAGGAACAGGAGGATGGAACACAGCACAGGGCCCCTCAGATGCTTCTAGGGGACCAAGAGGGTGGTGGCTGCTTTACAGCCCCTGCTCAGACCCCAGTGCCCCTTCACCCAGCACTTGGAGACTCCCTGGGCCCCAAGACCAGCATCAACCAATGCTCCATTTACTGCCAAGTTCCCCAGAACACCAACTTTTTTTTTTTTTTTTTTTTTTTCCGGTATTGGGGATTGAACCCAGGGGCACTTGACCACTGAGCCACATCCCCAGCCCTTTTTATTTAAGAGACAGGGTCTCACTAAGCTGATGAGGCTGGCTTTGAACTTGCATCCTCCTGCCTCAGCCTCTAAAGCCACTGGGGTTATAGAACTGTGCGGCTGCACCAGGCCAGACCAGCGGGAAGGGCATCAATCACCAGCACAGTTTGATCATCAGGACGCAGCACAAGGCCAGGCACGTCACACAGCAAGCATTTGTGGACAGGGCTGATTGGGGCTCAAGAGCCACCTGCTGGACAGGATGGGGCCCGCTGCCCAGCATGAACCCACGGACAGACACCACTCCAGGCTGTCAGCTTCTGCCTGCCTGCTCAGGGGCCCTGGCCGCCACCCCCACCACCAGGCAGTGCTCCAGGCCATGACACCCACCATCGCCAGTGCCGTCTGGGCGGTGGCCCCTTTCCAAGCCTGCGCAGAAGCTAAGGCCCTGGCCACAGGGGAGGTGGTCCTGCTGAGGAGAGGGTGGCCTGGGTGGCGGCCAGGCCGGCGTGACCCTGGGGCTGCAGAGGGGTGACCAGGCCACTAGCGCAGGCTGCACTCCCCGCCCTGCAGCTTCTCCTGCTCCAGGGCGCGCACCAGGTCCTGCACAAAGCGCATCTCGGAGGCCACCTGCTTGGCCAGCGCCTCGTAGCGGTTCTCGAGGCGGCTGAAGCGGCGCTTGAGCCCGCTGGCCCCCAGCAGGGCGCCCCTGGCCTCCTCCTGCGCCTGCCGCTGCAGCGCCTCCGTCCTGTGCAGCTCCTGCCGCAGCCGCCTCAGGTCCTGGCCCAGGCTGTCGCTCTCCTCCTTGTACCAGGCCTCTTTCTCCTCGTAGATGGCCGTCAGCGCCTCCACGTCCTCGCGGCACAGCCGGCGGCCGCGCTCCAGCTCGCGCAGCCCCTCCTCGGCGGCCGCCACCTCCTCCAGCACCTTGGAGAAGCGCTCGAAGTTGGCGTAGGTGTTGTTGGGCGGCATGCTCGAGTGCGACTTGATGGTGTACTCCTTGAGCCGCGTGGTCTTCAGGCGCCGCCGCTCGGGCTTCTTGCTGCTGTCCTCACTGCGGACATTGCGCCGCCGGATGGCCTGCAGGGGACAGGGAAGAAGGCGCCTGGAGCCCGAGGGCAAGCCGTGGCCTTTGGGACTGGAGTCCACCAACTCCCGTGTCCACCCGTGGAGCAGGCGTGCAGACAGCCTTCCCACTGCCACAGCAGGCAGGCTCTGCCGGGCCTTGCTGACCTGCGCTCCACGCCCCCTTGCAGCACAGGGACCTCCCAGACGCGGAGGGCTTGTCCCCCAGTGGGACAGACACCTCAGTCCTCACCTTGATCCAGGAATGCTCCAGGCTCTGGGCGATGGTCATTCTCCTCCTGGAAGACCACCCCAAGTCACACCTGTGTCCTCCACTCCATCTACCCAGGCTGTCCCCCCACAGCACTGGCCCTTAGCACCCTGCTTCCAGCCACTCCCCGTAGGTACCCCCCAGCCCCCTGGAGTCCTTCCCAGCCTCTGCTTGGCCAACCGGGAGGCCAGGGGCAGGGACCTGGGACAGGAAGCCTGGGGTATGTTTTCAATGGAACCACAACCTCCCACTGCAGTCATAAACTCAGGCACCCACAGGAGGGCCAGGTCACAGGAGAGCACCGTGGCAGACTGGGTGCCAGGGTTCTACGTTTTCCTGGATCTGGAATTTTACACAAACCTATCTCCAATGCTAGTAAGGAATTTAAGGTTTTTAAAAACATGGTATGGCCAGGTGTGATGGTGCACATCTGTAATCCCAGCAGCTCAGGAGGCTGAGGTAGGAGAATCGAAAGTTCAGGGCCAGCCTCAGCAACCTAGCAAGGCCCTAAGTAACTCAGGGAGACTCTGTGCAGAATCCCAGCTGTTTACAGAGCACATAAACTCAAAATTAAAAAATTAAAAAAGAGCTTAGGATGTGGCTCAAGGGTCAAGCACCCCAGGTTCAGTCCCCAATACCAAAAACAAAAAATAAAAACTAGAACAAAACAAATATGGCGTGGCCAGACCAGTCCTCAATCCCCTCTGCCTGGCTGAGGAGCCAGCCAGCCCTCAAGGCCGTGGGAGCCCTGAGTGGACTGCACTGGAGTGCGAGGTGCGGTGGGCAGGGGTGGGTGGCTGGAGGCTGGGGCATGGGCAGAGCGGGCACGGCTTTCTCCCAGGGGCCCAGTGCGTGCTCCTACTTGGGATCTTTGACAAGCAGCCGGCGGATGAAGTCCTTGGCCAGCTCGCTGGTGCTGCTGAAGTACTCCTCGTCGAAGTCGTAGTTCACGGCCGAGATGTTGGTCAAGGTCTCCTGCTTGGTCTCACCCAGGAATGGGGACGCGCCACTAAGGCTGGAAGACCCAGGCAGGCACAGGCTCGATGGGGTGCCCCAGTCCCCGCACACCCGCTGTGACCGTGCCACCTTCTGGTTCACCTTCCGACTCCAGTGGGCCCATAGGGGGCCAAACAGGATGGGCCGAGGGGGACACCTGACCACTGGGGACACATTCCTCTACACAGTCACCTGGTCACCCACCAAGCTGCGTCAAAGATCACCTCCCAGTCATGGAGGGGACATGTCTCTGGAAACTTGGTGTCTGGGTGGACACAGCTCAGAGCTTCTCCTAAAGCACTCGACAACTAAAGGGCACAGTGGCCACTTTCAGGGGAGTCTCTAGAGGCCTGTGCTCCTGGTCCAACATCTCTGAGGCTCTGGGCAGGGGTGCGGAACCCCAGCTGTTCACAGAGCACATAAAGCCCCAAGTGGGTGCCCTCTAAAGTGCCCGACAGTGCCCAGGCAAGAGACCAACGGTCTGACTGGGGGAGGCGAGGAGATGTCCCCAGTGTCGGGGGTTCCTGGGTTCCAGCCAGAAAGTGATGCTAGTGAGGAAACGGAGCGCCTGGCCAGGGCCACCACTGACCTCAGGCACCAAGGTCAACAGCAGTGTCCTCTCGTCTGCAGAAGGAAATCTGCTATTTATGCCAGTCTTCCATAACCCCCAGGTCACCTGGACAGAGGGACACAGGGCAACTACCTCCCTCCAAGGAGCCACGGCCAAGTCTGCCTGGTGTGCCCACCCTCCAGGCCAGGGACCAACGCGGCACAGGCCTGGCCTGGCCGAGCTGTCCCAGGCAGCAGCAGGGAAAGGCCAGGACTCAGCCCTTCTGTCTCTGGCTGCCAGTGGACTGTCCACAGTGGAGGGGAGACATACCCCCTCCTGACACGGCCACTCAGAAAACAGGGCCTGGCCTCAGAACTTTCCAGAAGCCCATAATAGCACCCATAGAGAACCCTCCACTGCTCCACTCGCTCCTTCCCTCACCCAGGGTCACTGAGCACCACTGTGCAGAGCTGGCGGGACCCCCGAGTCCCCAGGAACAGCCCTGACTCCAGCACAGGCCAGACAGGCAACTGCTGTGTGGCACGACCAGGCCAGCAAAAGGTCAGCACCCCGGCCAGTACTCACAGGATGTAGGTGATGACGCCAATGCTCCTGAAAGACAGAAAGGAGGGACATGGGTCAGAGGGGCCCCCAGGACAGAGGTCCACAGCCAGGTCAAATGAACCACTAGGGAAGGCAGAAGCCCTGAGCCAGGGGCAACATCCCCCCGGCCCTGGCCCCAAACTTCAGGGGCTGACACTGTCCTCTGCTCTGGGCTCCACATAGCCTCCAGCCAGTCCCTGGTCCCTGTCTCTAGCACTCTGAGATCACCTGGAGTTTCCCACCTGGGCACCTCTGGTCATCCTTGCCTACTAATGTCAAAGCTCAAACTGGCCAGGGTGGGGATGCACCGTGGCCCCACACCAACCCCCACACTGACAGTGGGACCCTCATGGGGCCTGGTGGTAAACTTTTTACATAGGGTCAGACACTGAACCTCAGACTGTGTCCGTCCAACACATCAATGTCCATCAGCTTTGTTTCTTTCTCTTTTTTTTTTTGGCGGGGGTGGGGGAAGGTACCAGGGATTGAGCTCAGGGGCTCTCAACCACTGAGCCCCGTCCCCTGCCCTATTTTGTATTTTATTTAGAAACGGGGTCTCACTGAGCTGCTCAGGGCCTCACTTTTGCTGAGGCTGGCTTGGAACTGGCGATTCGCCTGGCTCAGCCTCCCAAGCCTCTGGGATGACAGGCGTGTGCCACCGCGCCCGGCTGTCAGCTTTGTTTCTAACATCCGTAGGAAACAACGTGGAGACCCCTGAGCAGAGGGGCCTGCCCTGGCCCTCGGGCTGCCATTTGCCAACCTCTATCCTAAGACAGCAGTCTGTCCATCCCCCCGTGGCACCCAGATACCACCAGAAGGAAGCACACAGGCAAGGCCCCAGCCTGGCCAGCTCCCGGGACACTCACCACATGTCTGCCTCCAGGCCCAGGGGCTCATAGTTGACAATCTCAGGAGCTATACGAACAGAAAAGAGAGCATAGGGCCAGGCGCTGGGGACACAGCAGCCAACAGGAACAGCACCTTGCCCGCCCCGCGCAGTTGGGAATGTATGTGTACGCGCGCACACACACATTCCACCCCCCATATACATGTATTTTTTTCTTTTTTTTTTGACGTTACCAAAGACTACACCCTGGAGCTCTACCAAAGATGGATTCACACCCAGCGCTTATTTATTTTAAGACAGGGTCTCGCTAAGTATATGCCTCAGGCACCCTGAGTAGCTAGGACAGACCTTGGTGGAGGTGCTCACAAACCCCACTGTACTTGTCAGTGAATGGACACAGGCAGGGCTGACTCAGCCCAGGCCCTGGGAAGAGGAGCTGGACAGTGACAGCCCCAAACGAACCCGAGTCCCCGTGATGCTGGGCACAGGAGGGGTGGCCAGAGACCATACACAGTGGGAATCCGCAAATGCCCGCCTTGCCAAGCCCTGGGCAGACTCCACATGGACTCACCCACAAACTCCGGGGTGCCGAAGATGTTCTTGAACTCATTCCCTGCTTCAATCTTGTGGGCAATGCCAAAGTCGATGAGCTTGATCCGGGGGTCAGGCACATTCTTGTCCAGAAGCATGATATTTTCTGGCTGGAGTGGAAGACCTCTGCTACTCCTGTGTCCCACCCACATGTCTGGACAGAGCACCCTCATTCTGTGGCATGGCCAGACTGACACACCCTCGGGTCCCTGGCCCAGGCTGTCCTGTCCCCTCAACCCTTGGATAGCAATGGGCTGGAGGACTTGCGCTCTGCTGCAGGATCGGGGCCTCCCCCAGCTCCCATCCTGGACGCATGGCTGGCTCTATCCCCAGGGCCCGTAGGGCTCACCTTAAGGTCGAAATGAGCGATGCGCTTGGAGTGAAGGTAGTGAACGCCATCCAGGATCTGCTTGAGGAACTGGGTGGCCTCGTCCTCGGTCAACGACTCCTTTTCTGCCAGGAAGTCGAAGAGCTCCCCACCAGAGACCAGCTCCAGGATGAGCACCACGTCCGTCTTGTTCTCAAAGACGTCATGCAGAGTGATGATGTTGGGGTGCCGGATCTCCCGCAGGATGCTCACCTCCCGCTCGATCTCCTCCCGGCTGACACCACGCCGGCTGGACGCCAGGCGGCGCTTCTTGATGAACTTGGCCGCATACTCCTTTCCAGTGCCCTTCTGCCGGCACTTCCGCACGATTGCAAACTGGCCACTGAGGGAGCGTGGGGAGGGGAAGTGAGCTGGGCGGCTGCACAGTAGCCCCTCTTGCGCCCCAGGGTGCAGCCCTGCGCCTGGGACCTCAAGGTATGTGGGGACTTGGGACAAGAGCCCAATGCAAGGATGGGCAGCAACTCCATAGCCCTCTCAGTACAAGGAGCCAACCCTCCAGGACAGTACACGGGGCCTGGGCACATGGGTGCAGAACGCTTGAGCCAGTGCTGCCAGGCGCTTCTGCAACAGCAAGAGGAGAGAGGAGGGTGAGTGTGCACGGGAGGCACCAGGGCAGACCATGGGGGCGACCCTCGAGAGGACCTGCCACAGGACAGGAGCGAGCTGCAGAGAGCACTCCACTGTCTGAGTGTCCCCAAAGGCCCATGTGTGGAAGGCTGCTGCCAAGTGATGATACTGGTGGGCAAGGGGAACTTTAGCAGGTGGGCCTGGCAGGAGTCTCTGCCCTGAAGCCAAGCCCTCCAAGAGCCTGGGGACCCCAGTCTCAGGCTCCCCTGCCTCCTAGCTCCAGATGCAAGCAGTCCTTCCAACATGTGTGTGCTGCCCCAGCCTTGTCAGAGGCCCAAAGCCATGGGCTACATGACCTTGTGAACTTAACTAAATAAACTTAACTAAATAAACTTTTTCTCTAATAAGTTAATCGTAGGATCGTAAAGCTAACACACATATAACTAATACACAAAAATTCTTTTTGTTTAAAACAGGTCTATGCTGCGGCCCTGTGTACACGTGTTTCCATGTGTACACAGAAGGGCTCAGATGCAAGGCATGGCAGGAGGGTGGGCGAGGGGGCGAAGACTCACTTTCCACTTGATGCAACGCTACCCTCATTGAGCTTTTCAAGGCATATTATGCTACCATTTTTTTAAGTACAGGAAAAAAGTAAAAGCCACTAACTTCAAAGGGGGCTGGGGATACAGCTCAGCTGGTAGAGTGCTTGCCTCGCATGCACAAGGCCCTGGTTCAATTCCCAGCACCACACACACACAAAAAAAGTGCTCCTAGGGTTGGGACTGTGGCTCAGTGGCAGAGCGCTTGCCTAGCACGTGTGAGGTACTGGGTTCAATCCCTAGCATCACATAAAAATAAACAAACAAAGGCATGCTGTCCATTTACAACTACAAAAAAAAAAACCACTTTTTTTTCAAAGTGCTCCTATTCAGCTAGGCTAGGCGGCACACCACTGTCACCCCAGCAACTCAGGAGGCTGAGGCAAGAGGATCTCAAGTTCAAGGTCAGCCTCAGCAACTTAAGAGAACTTGTCTCAAAAACGAAAAGAGAAGCCAGGCACAGTGACGCATGCCTGCCTATAATCCCAGCAGCTTGGGAGGCTCAAACAGGAGGATCGCAAGTTCAAAGCCAGCCTCAGCAACTGCAAGGCACTAAGCAACTCAGTGAGACTTGTCTCTAAATAAAATACAAAACAGGGCTGGGGTCGAATGCCCCCGAGTTCAATCCTGGTACCCCCCCCCAAAAAAAAAAAAGAAAGAAAAGGTGGGGGCTGGGGCTCGGGCTGAGATGTGTCTAACTACAACGAAAAAATAAATATTAAAAAAAAAAATGAAAAGGGGTGCCAGATTACATGCCTGTAATCTCAGCAACTCGGGGATAAGCTGCCCTAGGTTCAAACCCCAGTACCAAAAAAAGAAGAAGAAAAAAACCTTCAGTCTAACAAGTACCACTGACTTCAAAGCCTGAGACTCAGTCCAGAATGGACGCCTGCTCAGCACCGCTCACCACCTCTTGTCCTTCGATGGCTGTATCTTGTTCCCTCTCAGCCCCGAGGACTCTGGCCAAATGCCAAACCTGCCCCAGGAAAAGGATGGCAGAGGACACAACCATGACCTAGACAGGCAAAAAATCAAAACTTGCAGCCCAAAGCAGCCAGTCAGTCCAGCCCTCAGTAGCGCTGGACTCCTGCTGTGAGAGCAGGTGTGGGATGATGGGTAGGACCACCAGGTGCAAGCCCACCTGAGGCAAGCCAAACTCTGAACCCAGGCGGCCGGAGGGGATGCTGGGCAGGTGCTACCGAGCCCAAACCCTTCCACCCAGCACCGTGCTTCCTCCAGCTCCTCTGAGCCAGCCTGCACCCCGGAACACAGGGCCCCCAGGAGCACCCTGGCCATCTGTGGACTCCTATTACCATAGACCAATCCCAACCTCCCTTATGCCCATGGGATTTCGGTTTGTCACTGAAGAGTCCTGACGCCGACATCCTCCGACCCACTGAACCTCCATCCTGTGAGTCGCTGACATCCAGGTCCACCTCCCCTCTCAAGGTTGAAAGGTCATGTGATCTCCCCACATCTGACTGCCCCGCAGGAGAGACCCTCCTTGAGAACCTGGCCCACATGCTCCTCCTTCCCTGTAACTCCCACAGGAGGCCCGAGATCAGGGCTTCAGGCCTCCATCCAGCTACGTGAGGACCTGACACAAACCAGAGGGAGGCTCGCATCTGAAACATGCGGCCACTGGGGAAAACAGAGTGCTCCTCCGTGCACCAGGACAGAAGCCAACAGGGGAAAGTCACAGTGAAGGGGCACGTGAGGTGAGTCCCTGCCAGGGAACCACCCCATCAGCATGTTCTCCAACAAGCGTGAAAAGCACCAGACTGAAGGAGGGTGTCCGCAGAGGGGGGTCTACCAGACAAGACTGGGCCACGTGAGGCTGTTAGGACTCGGGGATCCCCTGCCCTGGGGTGAGTTTGGGCTGGATCTACAAAGGTAGCTGGAGCTGATCAGCAGAGAGGCTGAGGCATAGTGAGGCCACAAGAGTGGAGAGCCAGAGTGTCCCAGCAAGGGGACTTCCAGAATTATGGGCCGGGCATGCTCTCTTTCTTTCTTTTTAATATTTATTCTTTTTACTTGTAGTTGGACACAATATCTTTGTTTTTATTTATTTATTTTTTAATGTGGTGCTGAGGATCGAACCCAGGGCCTCCCATGTGCTAGGTGAGCGCTCTACCGCTGAGCCACAACCCCAGCCCCAGAGGCCCGCCTTCTTTAAAGGGCCAAGTGATGAACATTTCAGCTTTTCAGGCAAGTCAGTCTCCACATAGAGCCACCATGTAATTTGGTGGCGCAAAAGCCACAAAAACATCACAGGAGCACGGCTGTGACCACAGCCTCTTCTTCATTCACTCCATTTATTTACTGCAACAGTGCTGGGGAGGGAAGCCAGGGCCTGATGCATGCTAGGCCAGCCTCCCACCAAGTGTTATTGTGAACACCGAAAGGAGAATTTCCTGTCATTGTTACAGGTCATGAAATCCAACTTTTTTTCCCCTCAACTATTTAAAACTATACACAATGGGATCTGGGGCTTAGCTCAGTGGCAGAGCACTTGCCTAGCACGAGTGAGGCACTGGGTTCAATCCTTAGCACCACCTAAAAATAACCAAATAAAGGCATTCTATCCATCTATAACTACAAAAAGTTTTTTAAAAATACATACAGCATTTTGAGTTTGTAGTCTGCACAAAGATAACTGACAGGAAGAAGAAAAAAAAGCATATAACTGTACTGTATTTGGCCCACTGGCAGTAAGACCACAGTCAACAGACACACAGAGTTAAAAAATCAAACATAAAGAAGATAATGTAGAACTGGGGCTCAGTAACAGAGCACTTGCCCACTTGCCTCGCATGCGTGAGGCCCTGGGTCAATCCTCAGCACCATATAAGAATAAATAAATAAAAATAAAGATATTGGGTCCATCTACAACAACGACAAAAATATTTTAAAAAAAGATAACGTATGGGCTGGGATTGTGGCTCAGCGGTAGAGCGCTTGCCTAGCACAGGTGGGACCCAGGTTCGATTCTCAGCTCCACGTAAAAATAAAAGCATTGTGTTGTGTCCATCTACCAAAAAAGATTCTCTCTCTCTCCCTCCCTCCCTCCCTTTCTCCTCTTAAAAAAAAAAAAGATCATGTATATGGAAGGACATGCACAGGTGACACACAAGTACAATATCATTTTACATTAAACATCCAGGGATTCTCAGGAGTCTGGAACCCATCCCCATCAACATCAACATGGAGGAATGGCCAAATATGGATTAAATTTCACTGACTTTTGCCAAATTGAATCCGAGGTGCTAATTAGTGCATTTCCTACAGTAAAGTATGAAATTTCGCAGAAGGAAGGGGCTGCATTCTCCACCACAGTTATGGAGGAAATTCCTGAAGGAAGGATTTCAGGATCCCAAATAACACCCAGCCTGACACACCGCTCAGTTATTTACATTCCTTTCTGGTGACATCATGGGGCGGGCCTGAGTGGATCCCAGGAGGCTGCCCAGCAGCAAACTCACCAAATAAGGTTTGAGGCTCCACCAAAAAAAAAAAAAAGGATGGGCTTAGTGGGGCCTGGCTGGTCTAGAGGCAGGGCCAGAGGCTGCCCTCCAAGGCCCAGACAGGCAGGACATCAGCTGCTCCCTGGAAGGGAAAACCTCAGCATCTCCCCACAAGTGCTAAACACCAGCCTGAGCAGGACAGTAAACCCCAGTGCCCCAAAAAGAGGTTAAAGAGAAAGACCCTCAAGAACACACACAGCTGTGTCTTCTGCTCTCATGCCTGTGCCAGGCTCTGTGTCTGGCACTAGACATTTCTCCCCACAACAAACACAGGGTACCTCCGAGAAAAAGTTCAAGGGCAGGGCTACCTGGCTCCAGCGCTCAAACTCTTTCCACCAGCAAATGACACCGACTCATTCCTTTGTGGGACAAAGGACAAGAAGGGAGAGTTCCTGTTTAGAAAGGCCAACACTCCATCAAAGAGGGCTGCTCACCTGCCCAGCTCCTCGCCCATCTCGTAGTGGTCCTCCACGTCTTCCTGTCGGAACGACGACATGGTGGCTGGTCTGCCTTCCAGTCGCTTCTGCTCCAGTTGAAAGCACTGAGGCCCAGGGACAGGGCCTCGGGAGTCCCCTGGGACCCTGGAGGAGACAGGCAAAGAGGGAAAGCAGGAGATGAGGCGGCAGTCATCCCTCCCTGGTGAACGGACACCTGCTCGCTTGCACCAGTCCACCCTAAGGTCCAAGCCCCTGGGGGTGCCCTGCGCTTAGTGGCTGGGTTTTCCCAGCGGCCCCTCATGTAACCCCTGTACGAGGCGCGGGGATCGGCCGCACTGGGCTACCTCTGCCCCCGACGGATGCCGCTCTGCGCCCCGGTCAGCCACGCGACGCCCGGGCCCTTCCCTGCCAGGCCCACCCCCGGCCCAGCTCCGGTCCCACCCCTCCCCTCGGCAGGTCTCCCACGCCCGCTAACAGCAGCCCACACCGCCTCCCGCGGGCGCCGGACGACGGCTCCGAGCTCCTGCGGGGCCTCTGGCCGCCCGACGACCTCCACCGCCCGGCCACCACCGGAGGCCCCGCCGCCCCGCCCGGGAGCCTCCTCCGCCGTCTCGCCCCACCCTCCACCGGGGCCAAGGAGGCCGCAGCGACTCCCTCCTCGACCCGCCCGCGAGCCCGCGACCCCCACGGTTCCTGCTCCAGCAGCCCGAGGCCGCCACGCCCCTCGCAGGCCCGGCCAGCCCCGGGGTCCCCGGAGTCTCCCAGCTTCGCCCCCTTCCCGCGGCCTCCAGGGACCCCGAAGCGCCTCCCCAGCTCCCCCATCCTCCCGGCCTCGGCCCAGCAGCATCCGCACCCTCGGCGGCCGCGAGTCCAGGGCCAGCCCCGCCGCCGCGCTAGCCTCAGCCGCGGACCTCTGTCCCAGCCCCGCCACCTCGGACGCCGCGTCGCGCCTGCGCGACGTCACCACGTCCTCAAGTACCCACCCGGAGGCGGGCCTACCTCCCATAGGTCAGTGAGCCGCACCTCGACGCCCCGCCCTCCGCCTTCTCTCCGGGCTCCACACCTGGATACGGCCTCCCCGTTGGCTGACTGACTCACCATTCCTAATCTGATTGGCTGGAGTGGACTCGGGAGGAGCAAGTAGACCGCTAACTTCCGGCTCCTGGGTCGCCCCTCCCGCCTCTACTCTGAGCTCAGCTGAGGCTGCAAAACGGAGGAGTCCCGCCTCCCGCGGTGCCGGAGCACCAAAGGCAGGATCAACTGGGAGCCAGGCGCAGTAATTCACGCCTGTAATCCTGTCTATTCCCAGGCTAAGGCAGATTCTAAACTGGAGACCAGTGTCAGTAACTCAGAGGGCCATGTCAAAAAAAAAAGGGCCGAGGTGTAAACTCTGAGGTAGGGAGCCCTGCCTGTTCACTCCCTAGTATGGGGCGGGGGCCGGTAGAATCCTCTGGATGGCTGCACTTTGCAGTTCCTGGGGTGGACAGCGGGGTAGTCAGCCTGTGTGGCATGGCAATCTTCGTTGTAAAATGTTTTTATTTTTCTTAGTTGTAAATGGACAGAATGCCCTTATTTTGCTTATTTTTATGTGATGCTGAAGCTTGAATCCAGCGCCCCACGCAAGTGCTCTGCCACTGTTACAGCCCCAGCCCCAAATGTTGACATTTTAAATAAGCAAAATGCAAATAAGGGACTGTCAAGTATTGCCATTGACAGGATCCAATTTAATGTGACCAAATGACAACCTTGGGAGGCAAATACATTACCCCAATTATATAAATGAAAAATTGGTTCCTAGTGTTTATCCTACCAAGGTCAGGGCAGAGCAGATTCCCCCCTCCATAGGTCTGAAACCAAAGCCAATGACAAACCACCCCAGGTATCAAGGCCCAGTCTTCTGACTTCTGTTGACAATCCCAAGCTCATCTCACTCCCTGCTCTCCAACCCCCTTTGCCTTATTTTGATATTTATTTTCTAGTTATAGGTGGACACAATATCTTTTTATTTTCCATGTGGTGCTGAGGATGGAACCCAGTGCCCCACACATGCCACATGAGCGCTCTACCTGAGCCACAACTCCAGTCCCGCTTTTGCCTTAGTTCTGACCTCAACTTATTCCTATCCCCCAGAAAGTACAAATAGTACTTTCTGGCCCAAGATGGCCTCCTGCACTAATCCCCAGGCCTACTTGAGCTCACAGCCATAGTGGCACCTTCTCCCAGAAGCCCTTCCGCATTGCACCTCAGGACTTAACCATCAGTACAACAGATGTAGAGCCAGGGCTGCCACTGTGAACAGATGCAGGCAATTCTTACCACTGCACAAGTTGCACCAGACAGCTCTCTAAGAGCCCAAGCAGGTACCTAAGCCGCACTGGAGGCTATATAAGCTGTACTGGAACTAACCCACCCTAACCCTTCCCCTGTGCAGATGCCCCAGGAAGGATGCAGAGCCAAGTCACAGGGATGGCACACTTCACCACCATTATCAAATTTATTATTCCAATGGCACTAATACAGCTGAAGGTGCTCATGGTGACACGGCACAGGACTTCCTGCCTTCTAGGAATTATCTACCCACCGTTCCTTCCCCCTTTCTGAGGGAAATCCACTTCGGGCCATATACCCAAATAAACTTCTTAATGCATTTATTTTAAACTTTTGGACATCTGAATTCAATTTCCCTCTGATGATCTGAAATAAAAGCATTGGGTGTCCCACCCTACCTCCCCACCCCACCAGCCAAGTAGTCCCTTCAGAAAGGGCATTTCCCCTGCCTCTGGACTCCTGAAATAAATAGAGAGAAACGGCATCAAGTGTTATTGTTGAGTGATGGCACGGAGTGGGCCCCCGAAACCCCCTCAGGCAGGGCATCACTGTGTGGGGACAGTCTCAAGGTGTCATTTGAGAATGCGAGGACGTGTTGCTGTGGTCAAACTGGGTGTGGGTGTTGTGCCAAGTCCCGCCAGGGGTGGCAAACCACTGCTGGAAAGAGCCGCCTACAATTTGTCCAGGAAGTTGTCCAGGGCCGGGATGCCCTCCTTCAGGCCTTTGCGCTTGCGGGTCTCCGCCACCACTTGGCTGGGACGGCTGGTGTTGTCAAAGGGGTCTCCAGGCAGGATCTGCCAGTGGTCGAACACGCACTGGGGGAAGGCCTGACCACCTGTGTTGGACCTCAGGTCAGCAGTGAAGCCTGTGGGGAGAGGGACGGAGAGAGCTCAAGAGGTAGCAGGTCCCTTGCATGTACTAGGCCCTGGGTTCTATCTCTAGCACCACAGCAGGGAGACACTGGGAACCCAGGCTTTCCCTAGGGTGATGACCACTGGGACTGTAGAGAAGTACTGTAGAAGACTCCTGGGCAAGTCAGATACTAAGCCCCGCCCATAATGAAAATGATTGAAAGGCCACTAGTATATAGAAGGGACAGCTCTTCCTGGGTGCAGAGAACCAGCCTGAGCCACAGTGCTTGCAGCCCGCCTGGCCCATCTCCAAGATCCTACTGACCTACATGCCATAGCCTTTCTGCCCTCATCAAACAAACTCCGAACTAGTGACTGGGGGCCACACAGGGTGCAGGCAGACCACCTACTTGCAGAAAGCAGATCAAAAAAGCTCCCACCAGGGCCCCTCCCCACACTCACACAGAAAGCCAGGCTTTCATCTGCCTAGATAGGCCCGAGGGGCACTTACCGAAGGATTCATTGACAGGCAGGTAGGCTTTGACGACGAACATGGGGGTACCAGCCACCTGGGATTCCTCAAAGACATGGCCCCGCTTCCTGTTCAGGACACCGTAGATGCCACCAACCACCTGCTCTGGACACTGCGAGGAAAAGACAGGCATTCAGCTCCGTGGGGCAGGAAGACAGCAGGAGGCCAGTGCAGGCCAGTGCACTCACCTGGATCTCCACAAGGTAGATGGGCTCCATGAGGCGGGGCTGGGCAGTCAGCACACTGGCATAGAGGCAGCGGCGGGCGGTGGGGATGATCTGGCCGCCCCCACGATGGATGGCATCCGCATGCAGTGTCACATCGTGCACATCAAAGCGCACACCCCGCATGTTCTCCTCGCACAGTGCACCCTGGGGAATGGGGAGGGAGGCCTCAGAGACCAGGCACACACCAGCTCCCAGCAGGTGCACACCCCTCACCCACACAGCTGCAGGCCCTGCCTGTGCTGACCTAGCATGCAAAGGCCCCCTCACCCCCAAGATCCGCATCCCAGAGGTCCCCAGCCCAACTCCAGACCCAGGAGACACAGCGAGACCCCTCCCAGGCCATCTGGATCCAGCTCACCTCTTTGGTGGCCCACTGGAAGCCAGCCACCACACTGTCCTTGATCTCATTAAGGTACTGCACACCCTTGGTGATGTCCGTGAGGATGTTGGGGCCAGTCCCATCAGGCCCAAAGCACCAGATCTTGCGGGCCTCAGCCACGTCCCACTCGTACTTCTCAGCCAGGTAGCGGGCTCGCTGCTTGAGCTCCTGGCGGGCTGACACCTCACCCTTGTCAATGTCCTCAGCCAGACCATCAGGGAAGGGCCGCGCCTTCATGTACAGCCGATTGTGCTTGTTGGGGGACTTGGAGAGGCAGAGCACGTTCGACTCCTCGCTGACTGTCTCCCGGTACGAAACCACTGGATCAGATTTCTGCAAGAAGAGTCTGGAAGTTGAACTGCTGCCTGGAGGTGGCCTTCCAAGGAGAAGTGTCCCTAATAGCTCTTCCCAGGGAGGCTGAGGGAGCCAGCAACAGGCAAGCAGAGCAAACTGCCCCTGCTCAAGGCAGCCAAGGAAGAAAGGCGCAGAGGTCCAAGGAGCCCAACCAGAAACAGCAGAAGACAAGCAGAGCCATCGCCGCCACAGTTCCAGTGCAGAGCGAGTGCTCGGCACCAAGGGCAGAGGCCTGCTGTGGCAGAAGCCTGCTCCACAGGCTGCCCCTTCCCCACAGCACAGCGGGACACGGGCTGCCTCAGCTCACCTTGATGGGTATGCAGGCGTGGTCCTCCTCCAGGTCCTTAAGGCAGATCTCCAAGTGCAGCTCCCCGGCCCCCGCAATGATGTGCTCCCCAGACTCCTCAATGATGCACTGTGGGAAGCACAGGGTCAACCCCCTACTGACCACCACCCATGGGCAAGCAAGACCACCAAGGCCGTGAGCAGTCTGAGTTGCCAGATGGAGGCAACAGCCCGCAAAATTGAAGAACCTCTGTGCACGGCTGAGACCTTTTTGGCAACCTGGAGGGCAGCCACCAACCAAGAAGACATGGGGTGGCGTCAGTCTCTCCTTTTAAGAAGTCACCCAACAACCCCTACCCCAGTGGGGGTACCTGCTCCCAGGTGACTGGAAAGGGACTTTGCCCACCTGCACCATGGGGTCAGACTTGGCCAGCCGCTTCAGCCCCTCCACCAGCTTGGGCAAGTCAGCTGGGTTCTTGGCCTCCACAGCCACCCTCACGACAGGACTGACGCTGAACTTCATCACGCGCATGTTGTGGGCGTGCTCAAAAGTGGTAATGGTGCCAGTCTTCACCAGGAACTGGTCCACGCCCACCAGACCCACGATGTTCCCGCAAGGCACGTCCTCAATGGGCTCCACATAGCGGCCCATCATCAGGATTGTTCTGGGGAGAAGCAGAAAATGTCAGGCACGGCCACCAGATCTGGTTCTGCTAGATCCCAGTCCTCTACAGAGTGTAAGGCTCTCCTGCCTGGGCCTCCCTCAAACCCTGGCTGCATTTCCTACATAACTTGGAGGAATCACCAGCAATTCCAAATCTCCTGGGGGTGCCACACCCATGAAGCAAGAACAAAGGCACTGGGAATATTGGCCAGGCCTTTGCACAGGACAGGCCTGAGCAGATAACGGAAATGAGGTTTGGTTCTCTCTCCCCTAACTCTCAGTTGCTGGTAGGGCCCAGTGAGCAGTATCA